CAGATTTGATACTTAGGTTTATAGTCTTCAGTTTCAAAAGTCACTTTTCTAGTAGAGGACTTATAATATCAACTCCATTATACTGGCTGTAACAATAGGAGGGCAATGAGATCTTATGGGATGGTAAGATTCTACCCAAATTTGCTGGGCTGTACTGGAAAGAGAGTGGTTTGTGCCAGAAGACCTGGGATTTGGTTCCAGTTGGCATGATTTGCACAAACTATTGAACTTCTTTGAGTTAAATTCCCTAATTAGTAAAATCAAGGAGAAAAAAAAAAAAAAACAAAAAACAGGGCTTTTGTGAAATAAGACACCAACTGGTAAACATTCTGTAAGCTGTAAATGTTAAATGATAACTGGTACTCTTTTTTAAATAGAAATGATGAGTTAGCATGCATTTAGTATAATCTTTTAGAAAGCTTTTAGGACTTACCAAAAAGTCATTTTATCAGTAAGTTTGGGAATTTGATGATCTTAACAGGAGTCTATTTTCATATCTCTTTCAAATTAGAGTTTTTAAGATAACAGATTTCTATTCATACTTGGTAAGAACATGAACAGAATAAACAATTAGAGCTTTAAAGAATGTTCTATAAATCTATAGCAAAATCACACTCTATACCACTGTGGAATGCCTGATTACTGGATATAATCACAGTATTGGTCCAGTGAGTATCCGTGTTTAATAATTAAGATAATCACTAATTTCCACTTCTGTTCCTCTGCTACTTCATAAGGCATGCACTATTGGTCTTTTAGTATTTCACTCTCATTGACCATGGACTCTAAATCATTATTTGTTGCTTATACACCTTTACAATGCCCAGTGGCATTTGCCACTGATGACAACAATAACAGATGATATTGAGCCACAACTACTGGCAGTGAAGTGCAGAGAGGAAAATGATAATAAATAACTGTCATTCCATTACTAAAAAGTGCCTGAAATTCGTTCTACTCTGTGTTCTATACAGCAGAGTCTGCATTATTCAAGAATCAAAAAAACATTTACTCTTTAATAAGAGCAGCCAGCAAAAAGGGACCCAAATGCATGTCTGATTCAGTGACCAGAAATTCCGCATGAAGCATGGCATGTATTCAAAAAATTCTCAACAGACTCCACTTCAAAATTTTATGGTATCTTCCCAAATTGGATGGTATCAGGGAAATGTGTCAAAAGATATACTCAGTCCAATGGATACAGACTTCAGGAATGCTGGATAGAATACAGAGACAGAGTATCAAATGTATATGAGATTGAGCATAGAAATATATTCCAAGCACAGAGACACAACTATGGAGAATATGGAGCATGTTGAGGATGCAAGATGCCTAAGAGAGCTCATAAAACATAGGTAAACGTGATCATTTTGGTCAGGTGGTTTGGGTGAGGGACAGTTTAAGCTGGCCTGCCATGAATGCAAAATCTGTAGTAATGAACTCACAAGACAGATATCCAATAAAAGATTGTTATTTGAGTTAAATTGTCTGTACTATACCTAATTACTCTTTAAATTTAAAAGAAAATTTGTATCCTTCCTCCATTTCTCAGATGACTGCAGCACCTTTTACTCTCTTCTCTTCCATTCCATTGATGATGAATCAAGTTTAATGGGGTGGTGGTGGTTTGTTGCTTGTTAATAAAAGATTCATTCCACTAACTCTGTATTTTAAGTAAATTGATATGTGGTAATCACTAAAGTTCTTAATCAGAAAACATAATCCACTTACTAGACAAGTTATATAAAGCTGTGCCTCAGTGATCTTATTAGTAAAACTGGGATGATGTATCAATATATCAAAGTTAATGTGATATTTAGTTTATATACTGTAACTATCTTTTCTCGTTTTCTCCCAAAAGCAGAGTCTAAGAATGGAAGGTAGTTTATTCTGGGATGAAATCTTGGGGAACAGAACTGGGAACCTGGGAAAGATGGATATGGAAAACAAGGAGGGCAATTCCAAAGATATATTATCAAGCTGGTCACCATGGTACCAGTGGGGCTTGATCTCCCTCTGAATCCTTTGAGTGCCTATGGAAAATGCAAAATAGTCCATTCAAGGAATATAAGAGTATTCACCAAGGTTACTCTGTGGAGTGTTAATGCTTCACACAAGATTGTGCATGTATTAGAATATCTGAATAGCTTCCTGAGGGATTCCACACAGCAACTTCAGAGAAGCCTCAAGGCAGGAAGTGAATAAAATCTAAGATATTCACATTTTATACAGAGAGATTTACTAGAGCAGAGAGTGGTCAGGTTGAATATAACATTGTTCCCAGTAGATGTGATGGGAAGGGATCTATCTTGCCACTAGGTAGTAGTGAGGGTGTTGCCCAGGGGCATTCCAAATGAACTGGCCTGTCAGGGAAATGTGCACAGTGGAACACAAATCCAGAATGCAGAGAAGTTTTGGGATGATTTCTACAAGGTTAGAAGCAGTGCCTTCTATGAAAGATTCTTAAGATCCAGGACCATGGAGATCATCAACTTCCTAACCTACTATAATCAGGTGGCCATCTAGCTGGCCTGTAACCCCAGTGAAGAACAAAAATACAAATCAAATAGTAGTAATAAGAAGCTTAATTTCTTGGCATATAATTATAAAGTTTATAAAACACTTTCATATGCATCACCTTCTTTGAGGTTATTATCTTTGAGGTTATGCTGTGAGAAGGTAAGATATTATTCTTCTCATTTTTCAGATGAAGTACTTTGAAGTTTCTAAGTTTTAAGGTCTTAACCAAGGCTTCATTGTATACATGTGATGATACAGAATGAGAAACATGGCATGTTTATCCTAATCCCAGCATCCTAAAAGTTACCTTTATTTTAACAAAATTTCCTCCTATCAATTACTCTGTATGTCCTGACTACCCTCCACCTATAGTGGCTCAGCAGCAGCCTAAGTGAATCACTCACTTACTTGAAAGCATGAGCAAACTAAACTATCAGCAAAATGTATTCCCAATCCCATTGCCATTTGTAAAAACTGATCTCTTTCCAAAGATGCCTACTAGATTTGAAGAAAACTTCTTTCAGATGCTGGGTGCCCCCAGGCAGTTCCCAGCATGAACTGGTTTCTAGAGGGCTGGGAAGTAATCCAAATAATCAGCAAGGAATGGAAACTCAAGAAAACCAACATTTCTAAGAAAGCACAGGTGTCGTGACTAATATATATCAGTTCTAAGTAATCTGAATATTTGAAAACATGGAACTTTTGGGGAGCCTGGGTGGCTCAGTCAGGTGAGCATCCAACTTCAGCTGTAGTCGTGTCTCACAGTTCATGAATTTGAGCCCCACATTGGGCTCTGCCCTGACAGCTCAGAGCCTGGAGCCTGCTTTAGATTCTGTGTCTCCCTCTCTCTCTGCTCCTCTCCTGCTGGTACTCTCTCTCTCTCTCCCTCTCAAAAATAAATAAATAAACTTAAAAAAGACATGCAACTTTCTTAAATTTATCTTTTTTATCCACCTCCAAATGTAATGTCACTGAATTTAGCTAATTAATAATAGTAATAATGCTGATGATAATTATACTATCACTACTATAGCTACAAATAATAACTAATGATTATTGAGAACTTACTATGAGCTAAGCCATGTGTTAAGGGCTCTACTAGTTAATTTAGTTATTTGCACAATAATCCACATATAGAGAGTACTAGTACTATCCTCACTTTATAAATCAACGAACCAAGTTAGAGAAAGGCTGAGTTTCCCAGGTAACACAGTAAGGGAGTGGCTAATTCAGATGTGTTGCAGGACAATCTAAGCTGCTATACTATACTGCCTGGCTTTTAGACCCACGTTCTGCAGGCTGGTCTGCAGTTACAAATGATCATTGGCTAGGAAACCAAACTTTCACAGGTTCCCAAGCACTGGGGGCAAGTAAAGTGAGATACAATACCTCAGAGTAATTCAGAAGTTGTTTAGCATTGTTGGAGGGGTGTGTGTGTGTGTGTGTGTGTGTGTGTGTGTGTGTGCACGTGCTCAGGGTAAGGGGAGAAGAGGGCAAGGCAGAAAGGAAGAAAAGTACAGGGGTAGTTTCTCAGTTTTTTCCCCTAGAATTACAGAGTGTATTTATAACTTCTTGGTTTCTCTTTTCTATC